TGGGTGTCTTTACATCCACATTTTAGGTCAAGTAGGTGATTCTCATACTTTGACTTACTAATCCTTGGTTAGAATAGCACTAAAATCTACAAGGACATGGAAGTATGATTTAGAAATTACTAACAAAATCATAGAATATAATTTAATGCTTATACATTGAAAAACCACTTGTCAAGGAAGATGTTGTGGCTAGCTTTTAAAACTTAAAATTAATAGAAATACTTCTTTGTAATCTTGTTATAGCAACCTCTGGTGTCATGCTGTTTTATTTTGAAGACAGTTTTTGCATTTAGTTTTTCATGAAGCTTAATTGTAAGCTTAACACTAAAAACATAGAAGCAGAATGATTGACAGTGAAAGGCAAGGTAGATTTTTATATATTTATAAACATACATTTTCTCTGATAAGTAGGCTGTTACTAGAAAGTACTGGCAATAGATCTTTTCAGTGTCTGATTAGATAAAGTTCAAAGATATTTTTAAAAACTGAGATGAAGCAAGACTATTTAACAGAGAAATTTAATTTAAAACAAACAAACCAAAAATGGCAGAGACATATACATACATTTCTTAAAAGTGCACAAGACCTAGCAAGCCCACGATGTCACAGACAAACCCTGAAATTACAGACTGCTGTGGAAGAAGTTCAGAAACTAACAGTCCTCGAGTAGGCTGGCACAGGACCACAGCAAAAGCATGGACAAAGCGGATTTTGCTACCTGTTTGGGCTGGGCAAATGCTATGATTCACCATGAGCTTACTGTTCTGGTCTAAATATTCTAAAAGATTTAACTGGGAAAATAAGGTGTATACTTTTCATCCTATAACATCCTTTCATCCTGGGTCATTTTTATTTGCTCCAAAGGAAAACCTCATCAAGGGGCAACAGCTTCCATTGTGAGTGTTTGCCTTTCACTTTTTTTCCATAATGGTCATTTCTGAGAATTTCAATTGAATTCAGTTTGTTGTTGTTGTTTTTGGCTTTTCAAGACAGTGTCTTACTATGTAGTTCAACTGATCATGTGTGGCAATCCTCCTGCCTCACCCTCCCAAGTGCTGAGATTACAGGCATATGCAGCTGTGGCTGGCTTGAGCTTGCTGTCTTGGCTTGGTCAGCCAGCCACCAAATCACAGCCTCCTCTGTTGGTCTCCCTGATGGGCCCATTAGTGTGACCAAGAAACCATGTGTAACGAGAAGCACAATCCCCATGTCTGGCCTTGCGCCCGACTACAGTATTGAGCAATTCCGCTCAGTGCTCTGGGCTCATGACACTTAGTGCTCTCCCCATTCCGGAGACGGTGCTCAACCTCTCCCACGCACTGCGTGAGGTCCCCACCACTTCTAAGGTGAGGCTGGCCTGACTCACAGGGAAGAGGCGATTTGCATCCTGTGAGTCAGTCGCTCCACTTCCTGCTGGCACATTGAAATTTCACTGGGACGAAGCCTCCCTGGGTGAAGGTGGAGGTGATGGGCGAAGGCTGGATTCCTGAAGCTCAGGCAGATGCTGACAGAGACCATAGCCAAGGGCTTTTAATGTTTATACCTGCACTGAAATAGAAATCTTGACTGCTTACTTTAGTTGTGACCACTGCCTACATCCTCTTTGTTCAGAGGTCCTCTGGGATTTGGTTACCAGGGTAAAACTTGTCACTAGACTGTTTTTTGACACAGACACCATTCAAAATCTTTAATGCTACAGTGAATTATTTTCTCAGCAGGGATTTATTGTACAGGATCAAAACCTCAAACATAATATTTGCAATTGAGTTACAGAGAGATTATTACATGTGTTAGATATGTATTGGAATAATACATGTATTATTACATGTGTTAGAACACTAAGATCATGAAAAATGTTAATACTAAAGAAATACATGGGCAGGACTATAGCATTTATTTCTTCCATGTATGATTTCAAGGGTGTTGGATGGTGGAAGTTACTGCTTTCTGTGGCCCGAGATTTCAATCTCCTGGTCACCCGTATCAGCCCTCTATTCCAGTTGGCAAGAACTTGGGACAGAGGCACAGCACAGGGACACCTGGAGACCACTGCTTTGAAGCAGGCCTGTGCTTTTGGACACACAGTTTAGACCAGCTTTGCTGTTTCATTGGCTACATTTATGACAGAGCCATGGGGTCACACACTTTGATATGGGAAGGCCATTTGGAATTGTGTACAGTTTCACCTGGGAAATATCTTGCTATTGGGTTGACTCAGAAAGTCTCTCAGAAACTGTCCCAAGCGGTGGACTATGTCCAGGGGAGGTCCCAAGCCAGGGGAACCCAGTTTCCACTGGGGCATACCCTGGGCTGAGCATTCTTTCCTTAAAAAAGATGCACAGGTCATCTGTTGCCTGAGCAACCGAAACAAAAATTCCAACAGGGGAAAAATCAACAGCTAAGAAAGAGAAGAAAGGGAAAAAAGGTCAAGAAGCAACACACCTGAAGACAATGAGCAGCAATCCGTAGCCATCACAGTTGGTAGTAAGCAGCTTCTAGCAGGACCAGCTGTCTGGGTTCCTGCAAAGAAGAGATCTGAAACCTGCTTCTGAAGTGCACTTCCTCCCACTGCGCTTTCCTACAGGAGACTTGGGGATGGAGGTCTCCTGCAGGGCTTCCCTCCAAGAGGGAATCCCGGAGGGACAGGGGGGTCAAAGATAAACATAGGTGCAGCTAGAAGTTCAGGGCATACAGAGGAGACCAAGTTACAGGGTTTAATTCTTCAATAAACTACAAAGCAAAATTATATTGAGACATAGAGCAAATTCCTGTGGATGAGAATCCAGCTCATCTGTCATAAAAATGATGTGGAAAATAGTTTTCATCTCTGTTTAATTGACAATCAAATCTAGATGTTAGTTTTGTCAAAATCATTTAAAGATGATTTTGGGGGAGGTCTATGAAAGCTATTGAAACAGCCTTTATAATGTAGAGGAAGCTTGGAGCAGGGGAAAATAGTTCTACAACTTTCAAGGAAACAGTATTTTCAAATAATTGAAAGAATGTACGGTTTGATATTAGATTTTTAGTGCTTGTCTTTTGTGGTCACTAGATAAGTGCTATCACATCAGACATTTAATTTATATGCACTGAGTTTGTTTCAGGTTAATAAGGACCTCATGGAGATTATTGTGTCGTTTGAAACATGAAAATATAAACTATGGTGGTGATGATGTTAATGTAACTTGGTTTTTAGGACCCAAAGAATAAACAGTTTCCTTAGTAAATATGTCACCTATGACTAGGAAAAATAAATTAAAGTCCCTGTTTTACATGGATTAAATCATCTTTTAAAATGACTAAATTACAGATTCTAATCTTTTCATACACCAGTAGAGGGCAGCACCCTCATATCCTGCTAAAGCTCCAGGCCAGACCTTATGTGTGGAGGGTCATGTATAGTAACTCTCCTGTGTCAGGTGTTCAGAAAAGCATTGTTTCATTTCAAGCTCCTCAACACTTTGTAAGGTGAGGAAAACTGAGGCTTGGAGAGCTTAACTAATGTGTCCAAAATTAGATCAATTGAGTTTCCTCATGAGATGGCTGCTCCTTCCACCCCCTTAATAAATACTCAGCGTCCATTGGTTTTCCTCCCTCCCTCTCTCCTTCTGCCTGATGTTCAATGTACCTGGGTCTTCCCACCCTTTCCAGCTCCTGTTGCCTGGCTCATTTAGCAACACAGACTCTTGGGGAAGTCATCTCAACTTTTCATGCTGATTTTCCCAATGTTAAATAAGGCTAATAATAGCCGCCTCTTCAGAGAGGTACTGGGAGAATGAAGTGAGATGGTGCAGATCAAGGGACTGGAACTCTGCCCAGCACACAGGACAGGTCCAGGAAATGGCAACTGCTGCTGTCTCTTACTCCTCCCTTCGTGTTAGAGTTGAACACCTGCTCCTCCTGGAGACTGTGTAGAGGGCTTGAAGGTGGAGGCTTGAATCCAAATAGAAGTGGTTGAAAGCCTTTAAGTAACATGTGTGGGTAACACCTATTCTTACCATGCTCTCTCTGCGCTTTAGAAATTATTTCAGTTACTCTGATGCCTGTTTTCCAATATTAATCTTTTCATTGGCAACACACAGGGAAAGGCTGGTTCAGACTCTTCTTAGGCAACGGGAAGTGGTGCTGGGGCAGGGTGGGATCCATCTGACATGCATCCTGCCCATGTCACACAAGCCAGAGAGCTGGCCCTCTATGTACATGAGTTCAAACATTTTTTAAAAATGGTGTTCGTACCAAACATGTTTGGGCCTTTTGGGGGTTATTGTTCCCTAAACAATAGACTATAACAAGTATCTCCATAGCATCCCTATTGTATCAAGGATTGTAAGTAAACTAGAGATGAGTTAAAGTGTCTAGGAAGACATCCTTGGTTATATACAACTACTAAGCCATTTGATGTAAAGAACTTGAGTACTTGTAGGTTTTGGCTTCTGAGGTGGTTTTTGGAAACTATTTCCCACAGATAAGAAGGGATAGCTGTTTTCGGACTCAACCTGGATTGTGTTGTATTAAGGAAAGTCTGTTTTCACGTGAAACGCAATGCAAAGTGTAACTTAGGCACTTCACAAACAATGAATGCTTCTCAGGTCTAGCTTCCTGGTTAGTTGTCACAATAAGTGGAGCCTGTTTTTTATTTGAAATCTGTGATGGGTCTGTCACCAAGCTTTACCTCAAGCAAAGCCATGGGGATTCTCTGCTGAGCTCTGGAAATCCGATATCAAAATCATATCTTTGAAAAAGTTACTATGAAACTTTTAGAAAAGGTGAAATATGTAACTATTAATACAATGCCATAGCTTCTCCCCTTGGACAGAAAAACTAGGGGTTCATTTATTTTCAAATATCTGTGTATTTTCATGAATTATTTTCCTTTATGGTTTTGATGGATTAAATCCTTAAAACAATTAAAATAGTTCTATAAGTAATGCAGTTGGATATTGATCAAGAGTTCTTTCCTTGAAAGATGAATTATATATTTGTTTTTTCTCTATAAATAGGTTTCCATCTTCTACAATTGATTCTCAGCACAACTGTGATTCCGTCCTGCATCCCAGGAGAATCTGACAATAACTGTACAGCTTTAGGTAAGGCCATTGCCTCCACCCTGCACCAAAGAGGATACAGTTTAACAAAATGGCAATAAGAGATATGTGACCATGAAAAGAAGAGTGATTAGCTGCTCGGTCAATTTTTAAAACTACTAATTAACTAGGATTCTGGAAAATTACAAAAGAGAGCTACTGGTGGAAAGGGGAGGGGGACAGACATCTAATTAGTTATAAAAATTTGGTCACTAAAACAAAAAGATTTGGTCACTAAAAATGGGGAATAAGGAAAATCACATTTTGCCACAAAATCATCCTTCCAGGACACACTGAAAGGCTGACTCCCAAGCAGAACAGGAAGATGGAAATTTTGTGCACAGGGAAGGTGTGTGTGTCTGTGTGTGTGTGTGGTGTGTCTTTGTCAGAGGAAAAATGATGCCCTTTCTAGTCATAGTGTACATACACGGAGTATTTCATATGTGTTAATACCATGTTAAGGTACAGAGATGGAAAGATAAGTAGCAAACGGTCCTTTCCCTCAAGGACTGCAAACTCTGGCTGCAGCCCAAGAAAGCCATGTTGTGAGTTCAGAGACTCAAATAATAGTTACTGTGGAGTGGAGCAATGTGTGTGCATGCATGTGTGTGTGTGTGTGTGTGTGTTTGTGCTGAACTTACCTTTTCTGCTGTGAAAGTCTATTCGAGAATGAAGCCCTCAAGTGTGGTGTTTTGCATAGTCTGTCAGACTCATTCCTTTGGGTTTCGGGGTTTGTTTCTTGGTCTGCGTGATGTGATACTAACCTGACTTCCCCCTCCTGAAGACTCCTCCACTGACTGGTGTCCGACCTGTTCTGTTGGAGTTGCTCAGTGGCTCCTGCCATGGAAGGCTGATTAATGACCCCAGAACCCAAGCAGGCAGTAGAATGCATTCAACTCTCCATTCCTTTCACAGTCCAGATGGAGGACAGCCCGCGTGTGGCTCAAGTGTCTATCACAAAGTGTGCCTCTGACATGCAGGGCTACTGTCTGCACGGGCAGTGCATCTACTTGGTGGACATGAGCGAGAATTACTGCAGGTGAGATGCAAAGGCAGACAGGACAGTGGCTTTGCCCACCTTTCTCTCTCCTTTTTGTGTTTTCAAGTCACTGTATATTTCCTTGTACTGTTGGAGGGTGCAGAGTGGGGGGCACCAGGTACACCTCTCACTTGCTGCTTCACTTTTTTCTCACCATTGGACCTCTCTGTCCACTGTTGTGTAAGAGCTGGTTGCACTGATTCAGACAAAAAGCACTTCATGCCTACAAAACTTACAACAAGCCTGATCAAACTGTCACAGTGACCCTACAGTTTAGCTGAGAGCTCTGCGGAGCACTTTGGTCAATGCCAGCCTAACTCTCAGGTCAATCTTCGTATTCAGCTTTATGCCTGGTAGCAGATTTTATTGGTTTCTTGCATTACAGTGTGAAGTTAAACATACAAAACGAATGCATAACCATAGTTTCTTCTTGAAATGATTTATTTTCTTCCTGTGTTTCTGTTTAGATGTGATGTGGGGTACACGGGTGTCCGATGTGAACACTTCTTCTTAACTGTCCACCAACCCTTGAGCAAAGAATATGTGGCTCTTACTGTAATTCTTGTCATCTTGACTTTGGTCATCGTTGCTGGTTCCATATACTATTTCTGCAGATGGTAAGGCAGTGTTATTATATGTGTATATGTACGCATGCATGCAATGTGGGACTGGGAATTGAACCCAGGGCCTTTGCACTGAGCTACATAACCAGCTCATTTTTGTTTTTTAGTTTTTATTTTGACCCAGGGTCTCACTAAGTTGCTAAATTGACCAGATTGGGCTCAAACTTGCCATCCTCCTGCCTCAACCTCCCAGAGTGCTGGGATTACAGGCATGCTCTACCACATTAGGCTAAGCCAGTCGGCTTTTTAAATAACTCTACTTTTACAAATTACTTTACACAATACAGACCCAAAACCTTGGTAAAATGTGAACATAGTAATAAGGTCTGAGATACAATCTGCACTGATGAGATTTACAATGATTTTAGCTGCAGAAGATCTGGACTTTATTCTATTATTATCTCTGCTACTTATGACCTATGTGATTTTCTTTTTGGTACCAGGGATCTAACTCGGGTCCTTGTACTTGTACAACAGGTGGCAAAACCACTGAGCTAAATCCCTGGCCCTAAAGATAAAATACTTTTTTTTCTTTTTGGTAGTGGGGATTGAACTCAGGTACCTATGTGATTTTCTGAAAGTCAAACAGGGAAGATCAGTTTTTTCCTCTCTAAAATACAGGCAAAAATTCTTACTTGACAGTACAAGGTGGTATTTAATACCATACAAGTGGAAGAAAACTGTAGGACATGATATTACTGTTGTACTTAGACACTTGTATTTAATTTATTTGGTCAAATTTTTATTTCACAAAGCACAGCTTTGTAATTAATAGTCTAAGAGGCTCTCCATTTTAAAATTGAAGAGAGAGTTGTAGAAATGAGATTCTAGGCAGTTATAAAACTTAAGTGGCTCATGTCAGTCATCTGAGGCACAGCCCATCCTCCTGTACAATAGCGTCACAAGATGATAACCAAGGAAAAATAGGGCTCTGGACCGGCACTTGTAGTGGGTTAGCACCAGACAATTGGAACTGTGTGAATTAAAAATCTGTCTCAAGAATGTCTCTGTTTTAAGTCTTTTTCACTTTGAAACTGGTGTAAATTGTTCTGTGATTTTTCTTTTTCTCTAAAAGTAGCTGAGGCCTGAAGGTGTGTTGCTTTTATACAAAGAAATTTATTTCATCCATATGTGATTTTAAGAATCCACCCAATAATAATGCCTTCCTAATGTGTTATCATCAAAGACTGAATATTATTCAGAGAAAGAAAGAAAGGGGGCAGGAGGGGGTGGGAGGAAGGGAAGGAGAGAAGATAAAAGAAGGACGGAGAGAAATTCCTCCTTGGAATTTCACAGCATTCACAATCTTCTTAAGCCCTTGAGAAGGACTTGAACTGTTTCCCATTTCCATCCAAATTAGTTTGACTATCATGCCTCCTTTTTAATTTTGTGTTTACCAAGTTAATGTTTATCGTGTGGTGCACGACATGCTAATAATGTACCTTTGGTGCCCAAATATTGGTTTCTTTGGTTAACATACTTTGTTCTTTTTTTTGGTACGGGGATCAAACTCGGGTCCTTGAGCTTGCAAGGCAGGCAGTGGAACTGCTGAGCTAAATTCCCGGCCCAACAAACTTTGTTCTTATTTCTGTTAATTATTGTACTAACAGTTTCATTTCTCAATATTTCCAGGTACAGAAATCAGAAAAGTAAAGAGTCTAAGGAGTATGAGAGAGTGACCTTGGGGGAGCCAGCACTGCCCCACGTCTGAGGGCTTCACCAGCACCACCGGGCCAGGCCAGAGTGCACAGGGGCCCGGTTCACGTTCCTTTCCTATTTTGTTAATGATATTTATGTTGGGTCACGTGTTAGGTCAACAACTATGTATTTTTAATATACTTATAAAGTGTTTTTATTTTTGTTTTATTTTTGACAGAAGATATGGTGGTCAGGGCTGAGAGTGTCAGCGAGTGACAGATCTTTGTGAATCTAAACCATGGTCACATAAATTTAGCACAGAGTTTTTCTCCTCCTCCAATGGGTAGAACTGGCTGGCCTGTGTTATGGTCCGACCCGGTGTCAACGCTGGAGCCTCTGCGTTGTGTGTTAGAAGTCATCAGTTAGGACTAGGAGAAACACATACAGGTCGGGGCCACCCATCACATCCTTAAAACAAACCCAGCCAAGCAGAACACCCTTACCCTGCCCAGGGCTGCCTGGAGGGGAGGGGACAGTCTCTACACCGTCCTCAACAGCTACAGACAGAAGTCATCCACCTAGCAGACTCCCCATCCAGACAGGGATGGGTGTTTTTATATGATTTCCTGTCCATCTTGGTTGCATCAGAACCTCACAGTATTCCATTTTTTATGTTCCGTATAAACATCGTTGATGTGAAATAATCATTGCTTACGTGACAAGCCGAAAAATATCCACACTTGAAATGGCTCGTGGGCTTCTTTTGTTGGAGTACTTATTTTCATAAGGAGTTTGCTGAGGAACTGTAAGATTAAGTCAGAGTCTAAAATTTGATGGATTAATTTAAAATACAATAAGAGAGTAGTTCTATGTATTGTCTGAAAATAGCAATAAACTTACTGCATTTTCTATCCAATAGACTTTTTACTTACAAACATCTCATTAAGTAGCTTCTTCTAAAACTTAAATTTATGTATTTAAAATCTATCCTGATAGGCAGTGAGGGAAAATAAGGAAATAAATAATAGTGTGTGTTTTTAAATGAGAAATTCATTCAAAAGCTTCTGAACAAATTCAGATTTAACCACACCTACCTTTGGAGGCTGAGATGAGAGCTGGGTCCTTTCTCCTGTGGATGGTTTATTTTTCTGAAAGAGACTGAGGTTTGTCTCAAACTCTGGTCTCAGTGAATGCATGGGCCAGGAGCTGCCCCTGAAAGGCTGGCCAGGGAGGCCCCGCTCTCCCTCCTTCTTTTCCTGGCCATCAGCCAGAGCTGACCTGCAAGTGCTAAGTACCAAGACTTGGGTCCCACAGGGGCCCTGCCTGACACATCCAGCACACCCACGTGCATTCACATGTCTCTCCAGTAAGCTCCTGGTGCAGCTATAGCAGTGGGGAAACAGCAGGCAAAAGAGGCAGAAATATACACACACACACATCCTTATGCACACATGTGTGCTCCATTCATCATAGAACTATGGCTATTTGTTCTCTGTTAATTAATGTATAAAACTTAAAAACAAGATTAAGGAAAATAAAATAAAAAATCAGTGAGACCTTAAAGTATATTTATTTCCCATTTATTGTAGCTGAACTCAAACATGTTGCACAAGAACCTATTTTAAATCTTGTTAAGTACTTATTGACGACTACTGGATGTACAGAGAGCCTGCCTATTTTCAGAGATCTTGGCTATTTTAAAGAAAATTTTTTGGCAAATGCAGAACTCAGCTACAATCCATGTATTTTCAATTATGAAAGGTTGATTATAAGCAGCTCAATATTGGTATATTGGCCTATCCTAAACATCTTACTTTACATTATGTAACTTGGTGCAATTCATTTGGGATATTCTTACCTTTATTTAAAAATGCTGGTGGTGCACAACTGTAGTCTCAGCATTCAGGAGGCTAAGGCAGGAGGACTGCAGGCGTGAGGCCAGCCTGAATTACATACCAAAGACCCTGCCTCACAAAAAAAAAGTGCAGAAAACTAACTCCTGAAAGAGTTAAATCTTTATGAGTACATATTAAATAATGAAAAATTATGATCTAAATTTCATTTTTGGGTGAAAATAAGTAAAAAATGTTCAGGAGGATAATGCTAAATAAATATCAAAAATGATCACTATGAGTGCATGTTTCCTGTAGATAATGAAAAGATTTTGGCCCATATTTAGTCTGTTCTTTATCGTTTTACAGATTTCTTGCTATGCATGTGTCTCAAAGAGGTTGTAACATCCAATAAAATCTACATGATTGATCATCTCCCAGTAAAGCCGCACAATAACCCTGTAGTCACATTCTATAACCAAGGACATCGAGGTTATAACTGGGGCTAAGTCGAGCTTTCCTTATGTCCTATCACATAGCAGAGTGCAACTCTTCTTCACTGGCCTTTGCCTCCATCTCTCTGCAGTGACTGCTGTGATTTCATCTTAAATTGTAGCTTTAGTGGGCAAGAGAAGTAGCTAAATTTTATTGCTATCAGGTATTAAATCAACTTTCATGCAACAAATAAATGACACCAGTGTCTCATTTCTGTTTAATTCAATGATACAGTTAAAAACATTTTTATCTTTGCTCTGATTTCTATTCTATTTTATAGAACATTGCGAAAATTATGGGATTGCTGACCAATTTTCTAATTTGTTTTTACTCTTAGAAGAGAAAGGGGAGGATAAGCATCATTTCTGGAGTATGACTTAGGATTTTAGCTAAGGAATCTTTATGTTTTAAACATATCTGTTATTCAAGTCTGATGATATGAAATGTAATATAGTGTATTTCTCTCTCACAATGCCGCTTTTGCACTCTGCAACTGTACTTTGAAGTCTGAAGAGCCATTTTGGTATGCAGTTTCTATTAAAGATGCTATGGAACATAAAGTCATATTGCATGCAGTTTAATGTAATTTATTTGACTATGAATTTTATCTGAGTACTGAATTGTATCAATTTATTTATGTTCATATCAGCTTTGATAATTGTGTACCTTAAGATATTGAAGGAGAATATAGATAATTTATAAGATATTGTTAAATTGTATTTATTTTTGTTGAGAACTGCCAAAAGCACAATTGTGAAATAAAAATGCATTAAACACCATGCATAAAAATCTGCACTGACAATATAGTCTCTTCTTTTTTAAAAAATACTTTCATTATGTTTTCCCACCAAAATACATTAAAGGGCTTAAAAACAGTGGCAGAACTGTAATGTGCATTAAAACAATGACATAAAGCTCCTATCTTGGAAAAGCATGATACAAAGGTGTCACATTTCATGCCTTAACATAGGTCATGAATTCTTTTCAAGAAGAATTTCTTGAAAGAGTTACATTACTTACAAAATTCTGGATGCTAGAATTTAGTTTCTAAATACAAAATATTAGTGTCCTTTAGATAATGTATATAGGAATAGTTTTCAAAGACTGGGTATCCTGCTGAAAGGCAAATTTTGAAGAAATGCATCTGTTAGAATCATGACTCCCTCAGTGTCAGCCACAAGCTTTGGCTTCCCTGGTCTTTCAGAGCAGACACCTTGCTCCCCAAGCCTCCACCACACCAGCAAGGCTTCCTTGGTGTGTTGCTTCTGCAACCTACAGAGCCCTTTCTCTCTTGGCCTTGTCCCTGCTAAGTGTGCCCTCTCCCACTGAGCCACACCTCAGCCCAGTCTGCAGAGTGCTTTGCCCACCTCTTAGCCCCATCTTCCCCTCTGCAGTCTGCACATAGGGCAGGAGCCCTGGCTGTGACCATGCCACAGGAAGCTTAAGGAGTTGGTGGCTGCAGGTGACACCTCTATCCCACTACACTCAAGAGTAGTCTCAAACTAGGTTAGCATTTTCCTGGGAGAAAGAGGAACTCATAAAATAGGATTCTTAGGCTCCCACCGAACCATTAGGCTAATTCAATTCAAATGCTGAGAACCTGGCAGTGCAGAGAAAGACTAAAGCCTCTTTTCCTCTGGCTGCCGGGATACTCCACTCACAGGGCTTTCTATTCCTTACTCTGTGGATGGTGCTTCCTCAGCATTTCCTCATCTCCATCCATGGCCTAGTCAACACTAAAGACCTGGAGCACGACCTTGCAGGTGTTCTCTCTGAGCCACTCCTGACTCCATTCTGCACAGCCCAGGTCTTTACTTGCCATCTGTGTGATGCCTACTGGCAGCCTAGATATTTCACTGAGTTCTGGTTGTCTCAGTCCTTTTACCTCCCTACCATCTCCACTCAGACAGTCTCACAAGCCATCCAGTGGGAACATGTTCAGCAACTGGCTTTCCTCTATGAGAATTTGTCTCAGTGTTTCCATCTCAACTAAATTCAACTCCATCCCCCTTGTATCCCAGGCCTCAAACCTATTGTTGCCCTCTGGAAAGACTGAGTGAGTCATCTTCAGGTGATTTCAGAAAGGAATGACCCTGATCACAAAACACTTTAAAGCTAAATCATTTCATTAAATTGTAATATGAATAACCCATTAAAAAGAAACGTAAAACAGATCTCTTAGAAACAGTCTATATGGTCAGCAGCTTATGGTAACTACCCATCCTACAAAGCTAAATACAGACTGCTGGGGATTTAGCTCAGTGGTTCCAGCACCTACCTTGCAAGCTCAAGGTCCTGAGTTCAATCCCCGGTACTAAAAAAAAACAACAAAAAACCCCACAGATACAAGGTGTGATCAGAAACTAAGGTGAATATTTAAATTAATGATTTTATTACAGTAAAAGACATTTGCCATTAATCCCCCTCAAAATGCTCTTCCTCACTGCAAACATGCTTATCACTTCATTCTTGTGACTTTCTGAAGCAGTTCTGGATGTCCTCTTTGGTGAGCATCTTTATGACATATGATAGAAAATACACTGAATGCTGCTGCTGAGTGCCAACCAATGGAAACTTGGGCTTGTAAAAATATTACAGTGCGTCCTTTTCTATCTTATTCACTGGATCTGGCACGATGTGACTTCTGGCTCTTTCTCAAAGTCAAATAATTAAGAAAATTCAACATTTTGAAATAATTCAGGATATCACAGCAGCCACAACAATACAACTAAAAAGACACTCACCAAAGAGGACTTCCAGAACTGCTTTGGAAAGTGACAAGAATGATGAGATGAGTGTTTGAACTAAGGAGGATGATTTTGAGGGAAGTGAATGGCAATGAGTCTTTCACTCTAATTATGCTTTTGAAATTGGAACATTTACCAGTTTCAGAGGAGTTATTGCACTGCATTGCTCCATTCTGCTTATCTGAATTTCAGAGAAATATTCAAGAAAATATTCCACAAATCTCATAGGAGGCTGCAGTACAATAGATGTACCAAGAAAATAGCCACAGCTTAAATTACTTTCTTGCCGATTGCATGAGTGGTTCCATTACATGCCAAGAAAATGGAAGCCTGATGACTGGAAGATAGTGGAATAGTGATCTTGCTAATCAGTCTATCAGAAAAGGGCTGTGATTTTCTTTTATCCAGTCAGATTTGTCACTTTTGTAGGGACAGCAGGATTGGAACCAAGGAAATATATGTCACATTCCTCCCATCTAATTACTAACCAGCCCCAACCC